GCTAAAGAGGTTTGCGAAGAATCTTTTCTTGATTTTACTCACCAATTCGGTGCTTGCTTGCATTCTAGGATTTAAATTTATCTACGTAAAAAGAAGGAGTGGGGAAAGGAAGTGAAAGAAACAAACTTTTGAACTTTAACGATACGGAAGCTGTTAATGTGCAGATTACCTAGATACTCTGCAAATTACCTAGGTAATTTGAGAAATTGAACAATTTTCGCAGCTTTAACGGATCACCTTAGTTAATCTGCAGATTAGCTAGGTAATGTACACATTAACGGATTTTGAGCTTTAGCAGTAACATATATAATACATACATATATATATACATATATACATACACATACATACATACATACATACACATACATACATATACATACACAGATTCCTCATACAACATGGGTTTGCTCTAACACTGTTTTGGAAATCCTCCATACAAAATTTCACAATTTTTAAGGTGTAAATTTTGTTATTCAATATATCTTTTTATTCAAGTAAGAATGTACATTGTCTCAAATTTGCCCACGGATTTTAGAACATTGAAATTTTTATTAGGTTTACTTTAATGAAAACTGATAGTGCAATTTATTCCTTCCTCGTCCAAACTTTCTTATCAACTGGGTGTTGTCATTGCTTTCAGACTTTAGCCTTTAAGACTGTTGCTGTGTTTTCTTTTTATAGAGTACAGTCGACCCCCTATAAGATATAGATACGTTCCATTCTTTAGGAATCCGATTTCTTACGAATCCTTCCAATCACAACTCAACACGTATCAAGTTTACGGACTACGGNGGTTTTTATGGTGAGCACAGTTCTTGACACTCCTCTTTTTAGGCTCCATAATATTATCAGTTTCTTTTTTAAATAAAAAGTTCAGAAAAGCACTTACAAAAATTCAGAGAACAGAAATCAACTAGCCCACAAAAAATTATTTAAATGCAAGGCCCGGCAAATTTAATATTAAAATGTTAACAAATATATGATGGAACAGTTAAACTTTTACCTTTCGTAAATAAACCCCAACACAAAACAAGTACCAGTCTCACAGTCTCGCGAAGACTATAAAAAAAATTATTTGTCAGAAAGGTAAGCAAAAGGCTGGAATTACAAGGGAGTTTCAAAATTTACCGATGAGGAATACTATCTCATCGGTATTAGGATGAGCGTCGATGTTGATATCTCCCACGCTTCGAAAGGTTTCAAATTGTTACCTGAAGACAAGGGAAAATCAATTGGTATTCGTTATTTTCTGTTGTTTCTTTTTATGTTTGTTTGGTAAAGTGTTTGTTATCCGAACATATGTTTGTCGTTCGCTTGTAAAAATCTTTCGCGAAAGTGTTCGTTATCCAATTTTCTTGCTATCCGAACTATTCGTTAACCAATCACCCACTGTATTGTACTCAACTGAAGAGGAATAAATGTATATGTCCAAAATGCATATTGGAGTCGATAAAATTGAAATGATAAAACAGTTATCTTAAAGTCATTTGTGGTCTTTATGATAAGTTTGATTTTGAGGCATATTAATATTCATTTTATCAAATATTTTGTTTTTGCAATTGGTTTAGAACGTGACAATTGTTCCGTACACTTCCATTTGGGCACTGTCAGTTGCTTGGATAATATCCATCTTGTACTCAATTTTCCTCCATATGTTCATAAGCATTTATGGGGTTACAGTAGCAATTTCTTGGATAATCTGATCTTGCAACTCCATCAAGTTGTTTATTTTCTGCATACACACTGTTCTTTAGATAACTGCAGAAAAAATATCCAGAGGTAATGTATCAGGAGAGCATGGTCCCTATGGTTTTTTATAGTGTGTGACTTCCGATCTCTTTATCTGTCCATCCACATCAAACCTTGCTTTTGTTCTCTGCAGGATTTCCTTCTTTGGAATATTTGACATTCGGCCAAGCACAACCATAACATTCTAGAACTTGCTGATTTTTTATGTCATACTTCCTTTTTGGCCTTTGAGAGCATGACTTTTTTGCAAGCCTACCTATGGGCAGCCCCCTCTCGGGCACCCTTTGTGAGCCAGTCGTTCGGCAGCTGGAGACCTCTGTCCTTTTCACCTTCAACTGCCACGTTGTTTTTTATGCTATGTCAACAACATTCTGATTGTATGGCAGCGAAAATCCTGTATTTGAGAGTTCTTGCATTAAATCAACACCAACCCCTATGGCCCCCCTCTATCTGCCTAGAATAAGACAGTGATCAAGGAGGTCCACAAAGTGTACTTCAACTTTCCTTATCCAATGGATACATTGCAATTGAAGTATACAGGAAACCTACACACTACCTGGTCTTCATCCCTGCCCCTTTCCACAATTATTTTATCTTTGAGATGGCTGGCTTCAGTGCCTAATTTATTGAGCCTTCACCCATTCATCTGACATGCAGGACAAGGTTAACAAGCTTCAAACTATTGTATCCTACACAATTTTATGTGGCTACTGTCCACACACCATCAAAGGCCTAATTCATCACTTTTCCTCTGCCACTTCCGTCACAATGACCTTTGCACTTAGTACACCATATACAAGACAGTCACATATGACAGGAGACTAGCAACCCTGTAAAGAGAAATTTTCAGGAACAATAACTTTTGTTTAGCTTTTTGGAGAAGTCCCTCAGTTTTCATCCTCCTCCACAAACCAAAAACAAGCCAGACATGTACCTCCAACCAGGCATATACACTATCCCATTTACAGAACACAGGACCAACCACCACTTGGGATACTTAGGTGCTACAATGTGCCCTTTAAACACCTGCTTCAAATAGCATTGGAATTCCATCCTTAAAGGGTCAGCCAACACCACTTTTGCCACCTACAGCCATTAACTTTCATGATGTGATTCCTTCCCCACCATAGTGAAGACATTCTATGAACTGTGAACTTCATCCTCTCACTATCTCTCTCTGTTTCTTACATTACCTCCACTCTCAACACATTTATGGCAATCCCCCATTGTTTTAACAGCTGCAGGATCATTTAGCCTGACGATATCAGTTTAACACTAGCGAAAACCTTAGCTCTGTTATTTTATATGCTGGGTTTTGGTTTCGGATGCTGTTGTTAAAAGGTACGTATTAATAAAGTAAATACATTTATTTTCAACACTAAAAAAGACAACAAAACTTTTTAAAATAAACTAGTTTTGTCAATATTGACCACAGTGCCATCTATCAACTTTTATTAAAACCTGTAACTTTCAGTGCCAATCTTAGTTTTTATTTTACCATTAATCTGTGATGAGACCAAAACATGATTCTGATTGTCTAATTTGTTACTTAGTGTCGAATTGATGGATTTCTCGACAGACCTACCAACAAAAAGAAGAATAAACTTGAACATATGAATGTTGGTGGGTCTAAGAGTTATATTTGCAAAACCTGGGACAAGTCGATTTCCACGAGGCGAGCTACCAGTACCGTCGTCATTAATTTTAAGTCCCGTCAGTCAAAGTTGGTCGGCCTTAAGAATGCTAAATGGGCACTTTGCGAGAGGATGCAAAATTGAAAAAATCCTCATGGTATCAGAGAATGGATAGATGCAAATTGCCTACAGACCAATATGGGGAAAACACTTGCCGTACCAATGATTTTTATATAGAATGCCAAATTCTAAATGAGCTCATTGATTGTATTTTAATTGAATAAAATTTAAATGAATTTTGATAGGTTTTTGCTAGTTTTTAAATAAACTAATACCTGTACTTCACAAAAATATTTAACATGTTTACTAAAATGTTTCTATCTAAACTTTTAGAAAAAATTTTAATATTTATTTAGAGTATTATTGTGGATTATTAGCTTATTTAGGCATTCATGTAATTATATTAAGGTTGATAATAGATTAGTGAATTTGTTCACTTTTTAAAATGTATTTAAAGTTTTTTAGTTTGAAACTATTACAAAAATTTTGAAATTTTATTAAGAAATCTTAAATATGTAGTAATATTAATAGAATTGTTATTTTTGTTAGGTGACTGATTTAGCCGAAGTACAACTCGTTTACGGAAGTAGCCACTATAAAGGTTTATTTACCGGAGGAAATGTCAGCAAAGCAATGGTAAATAATTAAATGATTAGTAGAATCTTTAACATTTACTAGAATTTAATACAAGAGACCAAATGTTTTATTCAAAGCTTTTCTCAAAATGAAAATACTTGAGCATCGACACACAAAAACCTTTATAATGCAGCCTTTTAATTCAAAATTTACTAACATTTTTGGCCATTTTGAAAGACCTTTGTCAGGAACAGCACAATCGAATGATTCTGATTTCAAAACTGATATTCTGCATTATAAAGGTTTGTGTGTGTGAAAGGATTTTGTGATTGACACACAAAAACCTTTATAATGCAGAATAACCTTGAGTAATAATTAAGTGCAGTTAAAGAAGAAATCAAAATGAAAAGTTTGTAGTTTTTTGCATTATGTAAATTTGATTATTTTTAATAAAAAAAAAATTGCTATTAATTTTTTGTTTAGAGTATTGAAAACAAAAGTGTTTAAAGACTCTATGAATTATAATTTAAATTAAGAACACAAACTAGAAGCAAATACTTATAGTTTGTCAAACAAAACAACTTTTCTTTGTTCAGCAACTTTTAGTGTGATTTTTCTTCAATAACATTCCTGGCATAAAGTGTAAATTATTTTTGTTAATTAATAACAAATATGATAGATATTTTTGAGTATGTTGAAGGCTTTGGTTCAGGTTCATTCTGAATTCTTTATATTTATTGATCAATGTATCTAAGTCTAAAGTAATTATATTTCAAAATAACAACTATCAAATCAAGAGAAATCTTTCTTCTTAATTGGTCAGCCACTTATTCTAGTAAATAATATAAAATATTTAGGTATAACCCCTTTAATTAGAACTGTACTTTTCATGAACATTTGAAAAATCTTACTACCAAAATCAACTCTTTAATAGTTAATGTCATTTATTTATGTTTATCTTTAAAAATCACGAATTTAAAACTTCAGATGAAATTATTTAACATCCTAATAACCCCTTCAATATACTACACTAGCCCTATATGGACACTTGGTCTGCTATATGATCTAGAAAAATTTCATACCATTTTCTTAAGAAAATTGTTTAAAATTGAAAGAACAGTACCAGGATATGCTTTAAGAGCTGAAACAAACAGATACTAACTGTTTCAGTTTTTCTTAGAGGTTAATCAGATTTTATTATAGACTAAAATCTACTAATGATGATGATATTAAATTTTTACACCAAGAAATGATAAATCAAACCAATGATCTTAAAAATAATAATAAACATATGGCAGTATAAGTTCAATAAATTACTTAAATCATTTGGAATCACCAATAAACTATTTGCTAATTCAAATAACAACTGGCAATTTGATTATACATTAATGATGGAATCAGCCTTTTCACAATCTATAAATAAGGATTAAAACTCATTAATGCATTCTATCATCCATGGTATATAAGCACACTAAATATCCCCTCAAACTTGAATATAATAATAGTAAATACTAATATGAATATTAAAAGACTATTACTGCAAATAAGACTTAATAAATATTCGTTATTTATTAACAACACTTATATAGACTACTAAGAATCACTGCTACTGGTGTAACTCTGGAGACTGGTCTTTGATCCGTCTATTAAAGGACTATGAAAAATTTGTAAAATATGATCAAAAATATGGAATCATGGAGATAATATGCACAAATCAAAATCAAGATTATAGAGCTAAATTAAGTAACCTAACAATAAGACAAATGCATAGAATAAACAATTTCTTTAATCAGATAACCAATGAATTAAAAAACTATGAAACTAATTATTATAAAATATTGTTAATTATTATCTTGTCAAATAAAACTTATTACTTAATTGTAGACAAACATTTACATGTATTAATATATTCAATGTAATGATACTACAGTAATTGTACTCAAGTAAAATGTATAATGGAATAACGGCTGACCAACAAATGTAAACTTTTAAACTGTGTTAATACTAACCTCCTGTAACAAGGCTCACCTTAGTATTGATACAAATAAAATTTATTATATTTATATATATATATATTGAATAATTTTGCTTTCAGGTAGATGATTAAGTTGCCATCACATGATAAATTTAATAATTATAAATAAATTAATATTTAATATTTAGAAAGTTTGGGAAGAATGGAATCTGTCCAGATCTACCTGTCTTGCTCTACCCTGCAACTCTCACTTGCCATGCATGCTACTTGGACCTTGGGCTAATCTTTGCCATCAGAACTATTAATATTTTAGCTATAACCATACTGGGTACTCATGTAGCTGACTGCAGACAACTTCAGCGTCCACTTAAAAGCATTCCATGGCAAACAGCCTGCTATATCCAGCATAGTGTGTGTATATACAATCGTGCCTTGTACTTCAAAGTTAATTCATTCCAGGAGGCTGTTCTAAATCTGAAGCAATTTTTCCCATTAGAAACAATGGAAAGCAAATTAATCCATTCCCAGACACCAAATGATACCCATTTTGAAAAATTTAAAACAGCAAAACACACACCTTATATACTCGTGTAAAAGTAAAATGTTTTTAGACCATTTTTTAAATACAGTAGTCAGAACAGTGCTTTTCAACATTGTAATAAACTTTTATAAGGAGCCCTATTTATTCTGAAAAACTAGATGCCCTTGCAGTGCCCTCAATGGAAAAAATTCTGGCAAATGTTGACCTGTTGTCTGTGAAATATTAAGGTTGACTTCTATACAGGGTCTATGGAAAATTCCAGATTTCTTGGCCAAAAATAGGGGGTTGACTTTTACATGGGATCAACTATTACTCGAGTATATATGGTAATTTAAGATAAAAATAATACAATTAAATGTCCCGATAATAAATTAAAACACAAAACAATAAATGAAATGCATAAATACTGTATAGTAAAATAAACATTGCATTCACTGGTCGCACGCTGCTGACTTTGGCATTTTAAACACGGCTGCCGGATCCACCACACATACCACTTTAATGCTTGGTGATAATTTCCTTTTTAATCTGAATTGTCAATATTACAGCCTTCCTCTTACCTATTGGACTTTGTTGCTTCCACACACTTCTCAGATGCTATGATTAATAAGTAAAGGCAGTATTGAGTTGAACAGAAAGTTTTTGTGTATTTTTAACAGCTGTCATTACTTAACATAGAGGTGGAATTTAATTATCATGAAGTCATAAAATTTAACATATTACTAATCTGAGATTGTATATTCTTTGTTCAAAGCTCAAAGCTTTCCAAAAGCTTATTTTATGCTTTGAGTACATTTTTCACTAAGCATGCTGTTTAAACTTTTGAAGTATTGTTTGTACTCTGAAGCAAATTTCTGTTGTATTTGGAATTCAATCTCTGAAGTGTTCAAAATATGTTGTATTACTGTGTGTATATGTATACCATGTTTCCCCGAAAATAAGACAGTGTCTTATATTAATTTTTGGTGTGAAAAATGCGCTAGGTCTTATTTTCAGGGAATGTCTTATTTTTTCCAGGAAGAAGAATTCACATTTATTATTGAACAAAAAAAATCCCAAGTCGAACTTAGACGAGTGACGTATATCCGGTGTGTCGAACTGTCACCTTTTTATAGAGTCAACATCGGACTCGATGACCAATTAGTGCTTACTAAACCGTAGCACTATACAAATGTCATGTGGCGTGATTCCAGGCCGACCAATTAGCCATCACCAGCCGTAACGTTATGCAAATCTGTGATTCCCAAGCCATAGTCTTATGCAAATCATGCCGTGTGGCGTAATTGTCTGCTGACCAATCAGTGGCTGTACTTTCAAAAAGCCAACGGCCACTTTCAACCATCTGTCGATGACCGTTACGACTAAAAAAAA